ACGAAGAAAAAGCCTATACCCGAGAACTACAGTATAATTTAATTACTTTAAAGGTGGGTGATGGCTGATTTTAAGCTTAATTTCTTTAGTGTAAGTTATAATTACTATCCATATTGAGATATAATGTACGTAGAATCTGTAAATAAATATGATTAAAATAAAATAATATTTACCGTTCTATCACTTCAAATTTTCCACCAGATGAAACCGAACCAAAAACATTTTCCATTTAACTGAATGTCTGTCATATTTTTAAAAAAATGAAGAGGAAGGGAAAAAGAACTGAATGACCAATTCAGATGTTAATTGATACGCCTTTTGATTTTTGTCAAACTGGCTCAGTGACGAAGCATTAAGTTTACTACTAGGGAAGCAATCGAAATTTTTTTTATTTTTATTTAGTCAAACCATAAAAAAATTAACGTCTTTGTTTTTGAGTAAAATGATCAAGTACTGAATTCAAAAGGTTATTGCTAGATTTTAAATTTTTTAATAAGTTTTTTCAATTGAAATCAAAAATAGATTTAAAATTTAAAAAAATTTTTTTTACATTGAACTTATAATTTATTTATTTAGTGGAATATCTATAAAATTATTTTACAAAATTCTAAATAAATTAATTTGCTTAACATAATTTTGTGCATCAATGGTATTGTTTATAATTAACATGACTAAGCAAGGGTTTATAAATTTCTTTGCATGATATCCTTCACAATCTTGAACTGATATCCATCGATACAAATGGGGAAAAAGAATATTTATATCTTTTTTTATATATAAGTTTTAATATTATTTATAATATATATAAAAGCCGTGTCACAACAAATTTACCGAATAGTATTCTTTTAAAAAATATTCGTTCAATAAACATCATGCAAATGTTAAGACAATTGCAATTTATATTTATTTTTAATATTTTTATATAATAACCAAAATACCTCATCAGAAGACGTTAAAAATATTGGTAATTTATGTTACATACATGATTTTATTTTAATAAATATTTCAAGGGCAAGATGACTCAGTATTAGGTAAATTATCAATAAATGAAAATCTATCAAATTAAAAAATATAACCTAGCCATTTCATCAAAAGATTAATATTTAGATTTCACAGTATCAATGTTTAAATTATCAAATATATTTTCTTAGAATATAGATCTTATTGAAGAATGGATCCATGTCATGAGAAAATGCAAACTTACTCGAAACTCTGGAGAACAAATTAGGTAATTTTTATGCATAAGTAAATATTGCATTGCAGGCCTGGGCTCGGTCTGATCAAAAAACCAAGGCTCATGAAAATCTGATTTTGATTGTATTTTTAAATTCAATATGATTTTTCAAATATTTTATTTCAGTTATCATTACCAAAATTATTATGATCTTTCATTAGGATTGGAAGAATTTTTTCAAAATTATTTTGGTATTGGGATTTTTTTAAAATATTAAATATTAGACATAGGTGATGAGTAGTATTTAAGAAATAATATTGATATCAAGTAAAATCTTTAAATATATTTTGACTCAACCCATATTATTTAAACTTAGTTGGTCTGAAGGGGAGAGGGGGTAAGAAGAATAAAAATTGGATATTATTCAAATAACAGGTAACAACTATCATAAAAGTAAGAAGAAAATTCTCATTACCCGTCATTTTTAACGGTCTATCTACTAGTATATATATATTTATTATATTAGTCTTAATATTTTTATCATATATATTTATTTAAATTATATGCTCATATATATGAGATTAAATTTACCCTTAAATATTTTTATTTTTTATATAAAAAAGCGTTAAATAAAAGTATATCAAAATGTATCTGTAAAGTATCTATAAACAGATACCGATACCTCTGATGAAATAGTATATAGATATAGATACATATACTTTTTATACAATGCTGATTATCTTAATAAATTTTTTATTTAAAAAAAGTAAGGAAAAAAAATATAATATATAAAAAAAAATTCTTTTATATTAAAAAAAAATAAGCATTTTTTTTATTTGCCTCTCCAATACGTAGTGTTGTCAAACGGCTCGATTTGAGTGGATTTTTAAAAATGGCTAAAACAATATTTTAACCAGAAAAATATTGTCTAAGTCTCGAGATTTCGTTAATAGATGTTCAAACCTTTGTGTCACCTATAAACAAAATCTTAAGGCTTGCATAATAATTTTCCTAACGCTTTTAAAATCGGCTCAAAATGAGCCGTTTAACAACACTACCAATGCTTATTTTAAAAGTAAAATTACATAATACATTTGCATGATTTTCTCTTTATTTATTATAAAAAATATGCAATATTAAATTTGCTTTCCTCATGTATATTTTTTTTAACGTAGTAATTATAATAGTAAAATTTTTAACGTAGTAAAACTAATATTAATATTTTCAACGTTATAAAAATTGTATTAATTTTTTTTAACGAAGTCAGATTAGTTTTATTATATTAAGTTTATTTAAGAATTTTGTAGGAAAAATTTCAATTGCTTCTATGGAAGCTTCGACACTAAACTGGCTATATATACTATGAATTGTGCTAAAAAAGGAATTAAAGTGATTAACGCCTGTAATACTTATTGCATCGGACACCTTTAATTTTAAATGGTGATTTAAACAATCTCAGAGTATGATGGATGTAATTCGCAAATAGCTTTGCTACATCAGATTTCTTCCCAATCATGACAATGAGGCCATCATTAACAAAAGAAATCCAATATTTTTGCAAAAAATTTTCCAATAAAACAAATTTAAAAAGTTCCTATAAATTAATTATCCTCTCTGCATTTTTTGATTTCAATTCATCTAGGACTAGAAATTGAAAAATAGGATCATCATAAGACCACCAATGCCTATAGTACCTTAATTCATCTAGCAGGCTTGTAATTTTCTATTGTAAATTGTAATATTATTTACAATTTTATAGCATTTCCTTGTTGATGCATGACAGAATATATAGAATTCAAAATATGAACAACATATAAACCGTTGTGATATTTGTAAATCTTTAAAATATTCAACATCCACAAGCCGACTATGACTTTGCAAGTTAATATACAGTTCTCAGTGTTATTTTTGTTTAGCAACGTGCGTAACCCTTTTTAAAGCATGCTCTGCTTATAAAAATAATTTGTAATATTTTTCATTTTTATAACTAATGATATTTCAATTTTCAAAATATTTCTATCAAATATTCTTTTAAAACCAATTAAAATGAAAAAGTTTGATTTTAAAAAATGTAAAATTTCATTGATATTCTAATATGGTGTCTATAAAATATTTTATGCCTATTTCATGATAAAAAATATTACCATTTTTAAAAAAATCAAATTTTTTAATAGTGGCATGCTTCTACTTCTGTGAAAATATTTGGCTAGGGCGCGCTAAATTTTTTTAAAGCTGGCGGGGACATAAAGTGTCTCCTCGTGCCTCTCGTCTATATCCATCCCTAAGCATTAGTGAGACACGCACTGACCGATAGGCCCCAGATTGATGGACGGTAGGAGGTATGTTTTGACCCTCCAGACCTAATAAATAATAAAATGCAGATTATATTAAATATTGAAATATTATTTTATATTCAAATAAATACCATAAAATTATAATATTTATAATATATTGGTCTAATATGATAGAACATTAAAATTTTCTGTTGTGTAATATATTATATTGTTATAATAATTATTCAATATAAAATTATTTTTGTCATTGATAATAATCTTCTAAATTATGATTAATAGCTATCATTTCTAAAAATATTTTTTTTATTACTTATATTGTTCTAAAAATATTAATTATAAAAGGTATCGCACTCGCAACATTCAGAAGTTTATAATTTTGTAGAAATAAAATTACTACTATTAAATTACAATCATAATTATATGTTTCGTTATATCTGTATCAATAAGATCCTTAAATAAATATAAATATTAAATATAGCAGTACCGATATGTCATTGGGCAGTTACTTTAATTACCCAAAGTTTAAATAAAAATGCAAAAGTAAAGTCGATAATTTTCTATTTTATCATTTTTATTACATTGAAATTTCGAAAAAAACTCAAATTATTATAGGTTTTTATTATATTTTTGTAATCAATGTTTAAATAAAATCCTTTGGGTAATATTATATTTGATGTATAAAAATTTAACATCTGTCAAATAACAGAATATGGTCAATCGAGAGAGATAATTGTTATACCTTCATAAACATTAAGAGGACTCTGGCATCAAACGTGCTATAAAGGGGCAGTATAACATAGTATTTATTCTTTTAACATATTATAAAGATTATAAAAATCTCAAGGGAAGCAATGTAGATCCTTATTTCTATGAACGCTCACGTGTACCTATCACACCATAATAACAAATTTTAACAAAATAGCAGATTTTATTTCATTTAAAAGTTCTCTAACTTAAACGCGAATTTTCCTATGAATTTTTAGATTTAAATTGCAATTATTTAACTTATATATTTCTACAAATTACATTTAAACATATTGTTTTGATTTAAGGATAATTTACATATAAAATATTCAAAATTTTATAGACGTAAGATGAAAATAAACCAAATAGGTTATTCTCAAATTTTTTTGGCAGTTAGTTTTAAATTACAAATTAAATTTGTGATTTGATTTTGAAAACAAAAAAATCATTTTGTTTTACCAGAGTATTAATTTATTCGAAGATTTTGAAAGTTTTTTGAAATTTGCAAGTAGATGACAAACTAATATTATTTTTTCTTGATGAGTCACTACGAGGTCCTCAAGATTATTATATTGAACAAAGAGTGATGAACAATAGGTAGACCTGAAACGAGAATTAAATAATATATTACTTATTTTGGAGATTTATCTATTTAATTTTTATGCAAAAGTGTGACTTACATACCAATTCTATTATTAGATTTTCTCTCAGTCTAATAAACAAAAGAATTCATTATTCATTACCGTAGCTTAGTCAAACCTCTATGTTATATACCTTGTGGATAAATTTCAAAAATCACATTTATCTCATTTCCTACATCACAAACGATGCCGGTATATTAAAATTTGGAGATAATCGTTGTATTGATAGTTTTAGCTTGCTAAAGATTTATTAAATCCTTCTCCTGAAGATGAAAGAAGAAAATGTAAATTAAAGCGATTAGTTCAGCATCCTAATTCATATTTTATGGATGTTAAATGTCCAGGTATTTTAATCTACTAAGTTATATTATATTAAAAATTCTAGGATGTTACAAGATAACGACAGTATTTAGCCATGCACAGTCTGTTGTTGAATGTCATGGATGTTCCTATATGCTATGTCATCCAACAGGTGGAAAAGCACATCTAACAGAAGGTAAATATATAATATTTATTCAATTAACTAAACATTTATATATATAGTATATACGTTTTTTAATGCATTGTTTTTTTAGGTTGTTCATTTAGAAAAAAACAATCATAAGATCAAGTCCAATACTAGATGTTTGTCATGCTGAAATATTATATTTATTTAAGATTATATACATGTTTGGTATAACTTATGAATGAAGATTAAAATAAAAAAACTTGTTACATTTTTGAATCTTGAAATGCATTTTCTTTATCATCTTGATCAAAAAATATTAGCTATATATTTATTTTTTAAAAAAAAATACTGGATTTTTATTATTTAGAACCCAAATTGTAATCTACTAAACCTTCCAAACAGAAATGAAAACAACTATTAAAAGTCATTACCATGATATATAAAAAAAATGGCTGAAAATAGTTGATTTATTATCATTAATAGTGTATTTGATGATCTTGTCAAAGTGTTTCATATTTGCAGATATAAGCATTACATGTCAAATACCTCTAAGGAAAATTTAGGCATTCCATATATAATATAGTTTCATTAAAAATGAAATTTTAACTTTTAATCAATAAATAGTGTAGATAATGATAATCAAAAGTAAAATTACTTTCTTTTTACCAGAGACCCAGAGTGAATTGTTATAAATATCAGAACTGTAACTGAATTGATATAATTATTTTTTGAAGTAGTAAAAAGAACCTTTATAAAAAGAGGTTTATAACCGGCTCAGTTTTTATATTTTAGGAATCAAAAAAATTTGAATGTCCAGAATTATATAAACTTGCTCTTATAGTATTCATGGTACCTGCAACACAAGTTTCTATAGAAAGGGCCTTTTTGGGGCTAAAATTTGTGTTATCGTCAACAAACAAATATGAATCCATTTAAATGAGAAAATATAATACTTATAATATATTTAAAAATGAGTTATTTTGAATCTTGTATATTTTTTTTATATATCATTTATAGATGCTTATAATTAAAATAAATTAGGCGATGGTGTTGCTTCAACAAAAAAAATTTCTAACCGTAATGAACCTTTATAATTAGCTGAACCGAACCTTTGTAAATTTTTTCTTAAGAACTGTAATCATAATTTTTTTTATATATTGAGCCGTTATGGGTCCCTGCTTTTTACTGATGCTAGTTACTAATTAAAAACAAAATTAGGATATGAACCTAATATCAATAAATGAGGAAAAGATTTAACACTTCAATATTAGTGAAATTGTAAATGTATTAATAGGCCTAGATTCTTTTGTGCTCATGTTCATGATTCATTTGGACTCATGTTTCTTTTATATAATGTTTGTTTATATTTTCTGACTTATAATTTGTATTTTATTTTTTTATGTCATTGAATATTATCAATTTTTTAGCACAAATATTCAAATTTTCTCATTATCATAGGAGTTGAAGTAAAGCTATTTTTAATACAATATTAATTATATCAGATATATGGTCTGAAATATGGCATTAAGCAAATGTAATTTATAATAGTTGTTATATTAAATCTTTATTAATTGGGTGGGGGATTACAATGTAACTTTTCTCAAATTTAAAACATTTCTTCCTAATAAATGTACTCTGCAGATATCCTAAAAATCCATGATTACATATTTAGCTGAGCTTATACAGTTTTGGAACTATCTTACAAAGTTTGTAAAAATGCCCTCAATCAGACAATATTTGCCTTAGGATACAAACATGGCACAAATCTCATAAACAATATCAATAAAAAGTCTTTAAGTCTAAACAATGAAAAATTTGTTTGTGAAATCATTATGATTATATAAAATTTTTAAGTTCAAACCAGTTATCGAATTGTGAAAGATAATTTCAGAAATTTTAAATTAGAAGAAAAACCTTTCATAGATCAGATAATGGTTTATTAATAGGAAATGTGACAATATAAAAAATCAAAGCCACATTATGGGAGATAACAGGCTTGTTAACCGATCTTTTTAAAAACCGATGCAAAATTAACTAATATAAAAATAAATTAAATATGGTAGAAATTTATTGTAATTGAATAATAAATATAACAATTATAATATATTTATTTATAATTAAAATTAGCTTTTAATAATAAAATTTTTTCTAAATTATCATCATTTAAACATCCGCGTCTTTCATTTAGAACATGTTTAGCTTTACTAAACAAGCGCTCCACAGGAGCGCTTGATGGTAAAGGTGTATTATATTCAATAAATATTTTTTTTAAATTAATAAAAGTATTAAAAATATTCATGAAATCATCATTTGAAGAAAAATTTTTTTTAACGGAACAAGCATTTTGTACAGTATTTTTCCCCAAAAAAGCATCAATGTCATCCATACATTCATTTGAGATATCCGCATATGGTTGTTCCTGCATATTTTCCAAATGGGCAACTAATCTTTCTTTTACCATCATATTTTGTGGCAGATTAATATAAGGCCAATTAAGTTTAAATTTAGGGTGAATCATGGCTGCCAAAATGTTACTGTCTTCATACAGTGAAGGAAATCTATATTATGAAATGATAATTAATTTATTATTAAATAAGTGTTCATTTTATTCATGTAAATCAAATCAAGTATCTGCAAAACTTAACCCTTTTAAATTTTACAGTCAAGTCTGGCACATCATCTGTATGGTATTTATTTATATTTGGGTCATATCACAAATATTGATTAAATGTAAAATTAATACTTAATATACAAAGATATTAACATAGTAATTTATTTACAAAGAATATTAATCAAAATATTAGTTTAAAATTTAAATAATCTAATAAATTTTTAATGTCTTCAAAGGCCCATTAATAATTTACTAGATATCAGAGGTTTAGTAGAACTGGCTTGTTAAAAATATTTTACTAAATTTGCCAGATCTTTGCAATTTTTTAATATATTTTGCAGATATCTGATAATATAAAATAATTGCATAAAAAAATATTTTTTTATAAAGAATCTGTATCTAGATTCTATTTCTGTAGGACCTGCTCAACTCAGGAATGTAATAAATTAAATTTAAACATGTTGACATTAAGATTATCAAATAAAAAAAATTTAAAAGAATTATTTGTAATTGTCTCTTTAAGTTCGAGGATGATATTTTGGAAGATGATATTATCTTCTTACAGAGACGGCATTTGGTGCTGATCATATTATAAGAGTTGCTTTCATCCATTTCACATAAAGTAAAATACTTATGTAATTTCAAAAATGGTAAAAGATTTTCATACTCACTTATATCTGCTGTTACATCAATAGTAGAAGCAATAGAATCTTCTAAATCTATAATGGACATTTACCTATTAAAATAAATATTAATATATTATTATAAATTTATATTAAATAACTTGTAAGAGCTCTAAATCTCGTAAAATTTAGGAAATGAATAAATATATCTATAAAATAAATGGTGGAATGGAAGTTGATAAAATATGAAGATAGATATTTTTTTAAAAAATAATATTTTAATTTAATTTTCAAAATTTTTATTTTATTTATTGCTTTTTAAGTAAAAAATTAATTTTTAAAAAGATCGGGATCGAATTTTAAACAAAATGATCTCGATCCTCAATTTAAGTCAGAATCATAAATCTCGTAAAATTGACAAATTTGCGATCGAATCCAGGATCGTCGATCTTTTGATTCGATCTTTTAACAACTCTGGGAGATAATATATACAAAGTAGTATGCTTTTTAATTTAATGTTCAAGCCATTTTACTAAAGAACCATATATTTCTTTTTTCAGTCAAATCTCATAGTATGATGCTTGGGAAGATGAAATATTTGAAGTTATACCTAGTTTAAACAATATTTTCTTATCAGATGAATAATTATGCCATCTTTTCGCCTATAATACAATATACACCCGATTTTTGCGCAAAATAATTAGCCAGTTTCTAAAAAGAATTATAAACGTTTCTTATTTATCTAATATAATCAAAGCAGCCGATATTGTCTAACCTTGAGCCAATAAACCTATTCCTGGAAGATGGATTATTGTTATTATGGTCTCACAATATCATGAGCTTCAGGAAAATGGAGAATCTGGTATTATATGCATATCATTTCCTTCCAGCATTAACGTCAACCCACTTATTTTAAAGAAATCAAGAAAAGTAAAAAAAACTAAGTATACTTAGTAGTGTTGATAAATGGCTCCTTTTGAGCCGATTTTTAAAAACGGCTAGTTTAATATTTTAGCCAGAAAAATATTGGCTAAGCCTCAAGATTTCGATAATATATGTCTAGATTTTTGTTCCTTCTATGAGCAAAATCTTCAGGCTTGGGTAATATTTTTCTGAATAAAGTATTGAGTTAGTCGTTTTAAAACGAGCCATTTAACAACATTAACTCCAGTACCTTCAATAGCAGCAACTTTTCCCGATTATTTTTTATATTTATCAACCTTAGGCTACAAATAAAAAGTTTCAATTAACCTAAATTTTTTATGCATTCGTAGAAAATTATACATTTAAAATTTCAGATAAAATTATGTTTCCTTGACTCAATTAACAAAATTATTTATACTAGTTTTATATATTAGATTCACTATTTTCATTCTAAAATATTTAATAAATTAATTTTTTGAGAAAAAAAACAATCAGAAGATTTAATCCATTATGATAATTTCTAGACATAAATATTATATATTAAATAAATTTTTTAAATTATTGAACGTATCTTTTTCTTTGCCATTTTGTTTCCTGCCTTTGAATAACCTTTTACCATTTTTTTATATTGCTTGTAATTTGGAATTTGCATTCCCATTGACGTGCCAGCTTTTTGTATCAAACGATAGGCTATAAAAATATAATTTAATTATTTTTTTAAAAATTTAAATATGCTTTCTTAAAACATCAAACTAATAACGATCATTTATAATACAGGGTTCTGCATCCGACAAAATTTTAACAAAGCTTGGTATGTTTTCGGTTTAGTTTTTTAATGGGTTCGGTGCAAGTTAGGCTTATTACTAAATAAAATTCTAAATTGAATTTATTATATAAAATTATGTTTACTATTGTTTTATCAAAATAAGTTCATAAAATACTGTTTATATTTTTTAAATAAAATTTAGGTGCTCGGACATAAAATCAAAATATTTCGGGCCGAGTTGATAATAAATTTTAACATTTTGGACTGCTTGAGTAGAAAAAATTAGAATTTCCAGAGCCCTAAATGTAAGTGTTGTTAAATAAGTGAGTTTTGCAGACCTTATTTCAAAATTATAGCCGAAAAAAATTCCCTCTGACCTCGAGGTGGGTTTTATTTATTAGTCACACTCATCGATTTAGCCGGCTTCAGAGCCATTCTAAGTCGGCTTTAGAGCTCCACGTTAGGTCAGCTCTAAAGCAAGCTCAGGTCATCTAGTGCTACATGGAAATGATTTGATAAAATCTATCACTTATTTTTCAACCAGTTTATAAAAGTTTTTTATAGTATAAAATTAGCCTTGAATAGGCTGACTAAATAAGTTTAGCCTAATTAGGCTTCGTTTAAAAAGCAGCTAAGTATTATTAGACTTAAGTTTAATCTGAAAATCGGCTAATCCAACTAGGGTTTGGCTTAATAATTGATAAGGATTAATAATTAGATCCAAAATGGGATTTTTTTAAATTTATTTTTTGCTTAAATATTGTGAATAAAAAGGAATCGAATAAACACAGTGTAATGATTGTCCGAAATAGTCATTTTTTAGAGAAAAATAAATTTAGTCTAAATATGTAAATTAAAAGTTAATAGAAATATTTTTATTCTTATAATGTATATTTTAAATATGAATCATAAATATAGTTTAAAAGGCAGGACCCATAACCGTCAGTTTGGTTACGGCTCAATATATAAACTTTATAATGGTTATGTTTCGGTTATGGTTCTTAAGGAAAAAATTTTAAAGGTTCTGTTCAGGTAATCGTAAAGGTTCATGCGATTTTTAAAAAAATTTTAAATTATTTTTATTGAAACCATCGAATATGATTTTAATTATGAATATTATTTATTACAATTTTTGCCATCACTTAAGTTAATATATTGTTTATTTATAAAATAGATGAAATTAATTTATTTTTACTATAGGTATCTATGAATAATAGATAAAAAAATATATAAGAGTCGTAATTCTGTGCAAGAATCTATTACTGTGTTTTATTCGTCTTAACCCTGAGCATAGAATTTAATGACTGCTCATTAAATATTATGGCTAGATTTCGATATTGATGACAAAATAGATTTGAAAAACTTTAATAGTTAAGGATTCATGTTGATGCCTATACCTTTTCAGATTAGCTCTATGGTCACATTTAAGTATGATTTTACACTTATTTATATTACAGGATGATTCATTTAAGAAAATATTATATGTAAAAAAGGAACGGACTGGTTTAATTATTATACGGACCATGTAATTTTTTTTATTAAGGAAATAAATAAAATGTTTATATATTATCAACATAAATAAAATAAAAATATGATAGCAGAGCAAATTAATATTCTAAAATTATGATATTTGTTTAGAACAAGTCGTGATTATTATAAACAAGAATTGAAGACCACAAGTTAATTTATTAAAATAATATAGTTAATCAAAATCATTGTAAAATAGCATAATTAAAATTAAAATGTAAAATATAAATCAATATAATTTTATAACTTTTTTTTCTTTCTTGAATTATTACATTTTCGATCTCACTATTTATACTAGGGGTTTGCATTGGGCGGGATATCGGCCCGCAAAGAAATTTTTAAGAACGGGCAGGCTGGCGGGTTAAAAAAATTTTAAACCATGGGCGGGTGGGTGGACAGGTTAAGAAATTTAAACAATGGGCGGGAGGGTTAAAAAATTTAGAATCATTTAAGTAAATATTAATAAAAAATTGTTCCTATAAACTTGTCATTTTTTGGTATCATAAAAACTTTTTTCTTAAAATAAATAAACTTTTTTATATATTAAAAACTACCTTGGTGTAGTGTTGTTAAACGGCTCGATTTGAATCGATTTTTAAAAACGACTAGCTCAATATTTTAGCCAGAAAAATATTGCCTAAGCCTCTAGACTTCGCTAATAGATGTATAAACCTTTGTGCTATCTATGACCAAATTCTTCAGTCTTGCATAAGCCGTTTAATAACACTACTTTGGTGGAAATGACAAGAAAGAGATTTGCCAAAGCTATCAAGATTAGCAAGAAAAATATTGACAATTCCTGCAACTAGTGATTCTTGAACGAGGATTTAGCATTGCTGGTAGGTTTTCAGAACAAAGAAGAACGTGTTTGATTCCAGAAAATGTTGATTCATTATTATTTTTGAATTATAAATTAATTACATATAATATCATTTTTATATTTATATTAATTACATATTATATCAATTTTATATTTATATTATTTCAATTTTATATTTATATTATTTCAATTTTATATTTATATTATTTCATAAATATTATATTTGATCAAATAAATTATTTATAATTAAATTAAATACCTAAAAACCTTTTGTAGAGGTATAATGCTGAAATTTTTTTTATTAGATGGTTAAAAAATTTAAATAATGGCTATAATAAAATTTTTTAATAGCGGACTTGGGTTAAAAATTTTTTATAAATAATGGGTGGGCGGGTAAAAAATTTTAGACTAATGGGCGGGCGGGCGGTTATATTCTTTGGAAAACTATGGGCGGGCTGGGTGGGCAGGTTAAATTTTTTAAAACATTGAGTGGGCGGGCTTATGGTCCAAAAGCCCGTCCAATGCAGACCTCTAATTTATACCACTAAAATTATATACCAGCAATAATTATTTCTAATAATTTTCATTTAATTTGCTTTCAATTTAAACCTTTCAATTTTGCTTTTTCCTTTCTTTTTCTTTTAAAAAAAATATATATATTATTAAAATATAAATTATGGGAATATCGATGGCTCTAAAAAGAGCTTATAGTAAAAATGTACCTAAAAAACATGTATAATTATGTTTAAAAATTTCTAATTGTATTTTTTGTTTTAGGAAGATTGACTCGCGTTTTTCGTTTGTTATGTTAAAAATTTTACGTGCTAAAATTTTTAAAAATGAATATGTTGATTGGGAGAAATTACCATTAGTTGAGATGACTATAGGTTGAAAAATAAAATTATTTAATATTGAGTATTTATTGATTTTTTTATTTTCGCCATTAGTAAGAGGATTTGAATTAATTGATGAGGGAAAGGAAGAGACACAGGTAGCGTCCCAAATTAGGGATTTCCCATTGGACCATGGGATGCAGGTTAAACCGTCAGGTCTGAGACGTTGGTTCTAGAATGTTAGGAATTTTAGCTTTATTGAGAGCGTTATGGATGATTTTATTTATTGCTTTATGCCAAAGGTGGCGACCTTGGCTACGGGAGCAGTTTAGGCCGTGTCTTGCATTTGGTTGTACGGGTGGGTTGCAAAGGTGGCAAGTGTGTGAATGTGTTAGCGAGCATCCTAGTCTAAATCCTATGGTAACTCTCAGTTGGTCATTGGTTAAGAGATTATCAAGGGTTAGGCTTGGAAGTGCCTCGAGCCATTCATATCCGCCATATTTATCGTTTAATTGAAGAAGTTGAATATCGCTGATATCGGAGGGGTTAAGACTATTTTAAAGTTTCTTTATAAGGGGTTCCAAGATTGATTTATTAGAAATTTCGGTTGGGAATGTTTGACCGTCTGGGGTTAGTAGATTCCATTTTGCGATTGCTACTGTTAAGAGATCGTCATTGGGGGTTATAAAAGATGAGATCGCGGAATTGAGCGAAAGGCGATTAGAGATAAAAAGAGATAGGGAGAGTAATTCTAAGGGGATCAGGTCGATACCGCCTAGTTTAGCGGGTAATTGAGCAAGGTGCCAATTAAAGTCTGATAATGGAAGATTAAGGATCCTTTCAATTAAGGTCTTTAAGCGAATATTATGCTTGGTGAAAAATTCTGAGGAGGTGAATGAGGAGGATGAGTGGAAGAGGTGTGAGATTTAGGTAAATATAGACACTTTTTTAATAGATAAAAAAGTTGGTGCGATGGGATATGATTGATGAACTTTTCCAAGTTTTGCAACTCGAAGAAGGTTTTAGCGATAGTTTTTTCCGAGATTTTATTATTTAGTAGTGGGGAGCCCAAGAGTTAGATATCTTCGATTTCGATAATATTGTAATCTTTAAATGAGTATAGGGGAATCTCGGGTTGAGTATGTAGATTTCTGTTTTGGTTTTGTTTAATTCTAGGCCTATTTTGGGGCATTCTCTTTCGAGGTGGAAGAGGGCTTAGCTTATTTGATGTTGGTTACCGCAGAGAGTGCCATCGTCTAGGTACCATAAATTAAGGTCTAGATCAAAATCAGATTTGCGATCTTTCATCATATTATGGATGGCTAAGCAGAAAAGTATAGGGCCTAGGGGGTCGCCCTGCTGAACACCCTCTTCTGAGTATAAAGCGCAACCATTGAAAATGAGGGGAGTGCTATTGGTATAGCAAATGTCAACAATGCGCGAGCATTGGGGGAAATTATCGTAAAACGATTCGAGAGCCGAGGAACGAGATACTGTATTGAAGGCGTTTTTGAAATCAATTTTGCAAAGAACGGAGTTTAAAGGTGCATGTTGTAGGTAGATTCGGAGACAGTGAGAGGCTATATCTACGCCTCCTTTTGTTCCGCAGCCTAATTGGTAATTGCCAAGCAGGGAATGAGTAACGGTTTTTATTTTTTTTTGCGATGATTTTAGTAATCAGGCGTCTGAAGAAAGAACCGATAGCTATTGGGCGGATACCACCTTTCGGCTTTTCAAATGCAAT